ATGTTTTTGTATATTTTTATACAATATTTACAGTTTATTATATATTTAAAAAATTTGTTTAAACAGATACAATTTTAGTCTGTAAGTTTGTAAAGTTCTTGTTTAAACATTTAATTTATTTAAAATATTTTTATGCAAAATTCTTTATAATTTTTGTAGTTATTAATTATTCTTTAATTTTACTCTTATTGTGTTTCATATTTTTGTATGTAATATTATGAAAAGTATCTTAGAATTAATACTTATTTTTGTTTTTTTTTGTTTTTTAATTTTACTTAATATTCTTTAATATCATAGTTTATCAGAAATAGAACATCATCTAGTTTAAAAAGTCATCAAATTTGAATATAATAATTAGTTTCGTATATATTGTAGTATGTATTATATGTATTGTAACTATGTAATGATGTACCTAGGCTTTAAAAATACTTGTGAAAGTGGAGAGATGTAAGTATGTAAATTTATTCATTTCTACAGTTGTTTAAGAAGTATTAAAAAAAATTAGTAAAAGTATCTGAAATATTTCATATAAAATAAAATAAAATGACAAATAAAAAAACAAAATTAAAATTATGTTAAATAAAATGATTTTTTTCTTACTTGAGAATTCAATTTGTTCTGAGGTTAGTAAAATTTTTTGTTGATGTTTTTTTTTGCAGTGTATGAAGTTTTTGTTGAATGATTTTTAATTTAATTTTGTATCCTTTCTCGTCTTTTTTGTAATAAATTTGAAAATTGTTTTACAATTTACCATTTCCTTTTCTCAATGCTTTTCAAATATTTCATTTCTATCTTTTCTATGGAATATTTTTGTATTTTATTTTTTCCTCTTAATTTTTGTTTTATGTTCTATATTTTATGTTATGTAAAATTCTTGCTTTTCGTATAGAAATGCAAATAAAATTATTTTTGGTTTTTTTTTCTCAGTAAAATGTTTTACATTATTTCAATATTTTTTTTTTCATTATTAAATTTTGTAAAACAAATATAATATTTTAAAAATTACAGTATTTATATATCATTTTATTCTGTTTATTTTGTATTTTTTTTTTTAATTCGTATATAAGTAATACTTTTTATTTAAGTTAATATTTAATAAAATTTTAATGCTCCTTACACACACGTCTTTATTTTTGTTTTGGTTTTTTTTCTTTTTCTATTTATATTTAATTTAAAATACAAATAATTTCATTGTTGTTGTTTTATTTTAGCTCCTTTTAGCAACTTTTAATGTATTTTCAATATAAGTTTTTTTTTATTTGATTTGTTTTCTATTTAAATTTAAATATTTTGCAACTATTTTCTTTAATGTTATTTATATATGCTATTTTTTTATTGAAAATTATTATAATAAATATTTTATTTTTATTTAATTTTTTATGCATTAATAGTTTTGTAAAATTTAAATCAATCTTTCCTGTTCTTAAATTTCTTGGGCTTATATTCGTTTTTCAACTCAAACCACTGCTCAACTCAATTTAATTAATTAAATTAAGCACGACCTTTGCGGGCACCTGAAATGGATAAAAATATATATTTTTTTTAAATAATTTAAAAATATAATAAGCGAGCATATATAATTATTATTAAGAATTTAATATGCAACGGTTGGCAAAATGTTTAAAAATTGAAAAAAAAATTTAAACTAAATAAATTAATTAATTAAATTAATATTAATAATACAAATTATTATTATTATTAATTTTAAAGATAATTCTTATCTCAGTTCACAAGGAATAAAAAAACGAATACTATTGATATAATAATAACAAAACTTATTTATTATTACAATCTTATTATAATCTTAATCAGTGGTTTTTTAACTGGGTAGGCTTCTATTAAATACTACCTTTAGGAAATGGAATTAACGCTTACAGACAGCTCCAGATTCTAGGAAATTTATATGAAACTTTCGCCTAACTTTTCTGCCTATGTACTGCAATTACCCATAGTACTTCTAATGTCTTTCTATGAATGTCAATCTAATTAGCAGTTTGCTGTGTAAAAACCAACTACCAAAAGCAACTAGAGATTATAATGAGTACAAATCAAAATCCATGAATTACTTCGGATACAAAAAATTCTTGAATGGAACTAAATAAAGAAGATGTAATTTTAGGCTATACCAGTTATATATATCTACATCGCATCGATATGTGTTAACATCTTCTATACTTTTTGTTTTTTTATGCTATTGTGATTGTAATATTTACTTAACGAATTCCAAATTCGTAATACTTAAGAGTGACACATATAAGCCACTATAAAGTTAATCAATTTCAAAAAATTGAGAATTATAAATCATCGATTTTATTATTTATTTCTACATAAAAATTTGTAATATACAAAACTGCAATTAACTATGAATGTTCTGGAACATGTTCATCTCATTCAAGTTTTTTGTGCAGTTTATATTAAAATTTCATTATACTTAGTTTCTTAGCTTATTTATTATATATATCAAAACCATCTAACTGAATGAGAATTAAAAATTATTTTCTTTTGTTACTTCTATGTATTTTAAAATTTGAACCATGAAATTAAATATATGTATACATCATTTGCACAAGTTTTATTAAAATTTCATTTCAGTTGCCAAGCAGACTTCACAACTTCATTGACTTTTATTCAACTTCTTTATATTCTAATTTATAAAAAAAAACGGACTTCTTTAAATTCTTTTCTTTTAATTTTACTAATATGGTATTGAGCTGTTAAGTGCTTAGACATACCGAGGCCATTCTTCTTGTGCGAACTTGAATCAATAAATTTTCAGGTGCAATAATGGATTAGAACAGATCACACAATATCGATGGCAGGATCTGTTGCTAAGAGTTGGACTTTATCAATTCTATATGATATTTTTTCTTAAATTAGTGTTATAGTTACTTTATAATTATATGAGAATTTATTATAATTTCGCTACAACAACACAAAACAATTATTATTCCTGTAGATAAAAGTATTTTTAGTTTATAGAAATTTATATATATTAATTACTTAAGATCATTAATATTATCGCTGTTATATAATGCAGTTGCCAATATTCTTCTTGAAGGTCCAAGGATGGTTTTTACGGCGAGAAAGAATCGAATTATTGCTATTCAATAAAGTTCTAATATAAAAATGAATCGCAAAATAAGTTGGTAAGTGCATAACTCAACAACGCCTGGACCAATTTAGTCAAATCTTTTTTTTAATATGTTCGTTGAAGTCCAAGGATGGTTTTTACGGTGAGAAAAGAATTGACTTATTGCTATTCAATAGAGTTCTATCCTTTATAGAAAAATGAACGAAAAAATGTGTTGGTAAGCGCATAACTCAACAACGCCTGGACCAATTTAGTCAATTCTTGTTTTTAAATGTTCCTTGAAGTCGAAGGATGGTTTTTACGGCAAGGAAAAATCGAATTATTACTATTCAATAAAGTTCATATTACATTACAAACACTCACTGTTGTCTAAGCAACATCATCAGTATTTCAAATATTTCAAATTTCAAATATAATAATTAAATACTGTCCTAAATATATGAGCTGTAAATAATTTAAATACATACTAATATTTGACTGAGTTTTCTTTTTATATCGTGTTTTGTGCATGTGACACAATTTATATTCGATATGCCTCCTGTAAGACGATGTAATTTAGGTAGAAGAACCCGAAATGCTACAAACCAAACTAATTCCCGATCTAATCATACTGCACAAGCACGTGACGACCGAAATGAACTTGAAAGAATTTGGATATCACAAACGCGTGAAGAACGACATCAACTCATATTCACGCAAGTTTGAATCGAACTGCTTTCACTTTCAGGTTTGAACCCTAAGTTCGTCTCTTAGTTTGAAACCCTCTGGCAGACATCCCAATCGGGGTTTTTTAGTGTATCCCAGAAGGGTGGTTCTTGGAAGAGAAGATACTTTGGTCACTCGAGCTGAACCCCACACACCAGGGTGACTGTTCTGTTCAAGAGATTTTTTTGCCCCGACTATAAAATAGGTAGGAACAAAAAACTGCTACATTTCAAATCTTTTTGACAGAACGAAGTCTGTCGGGTCCGCTAATACATAATAAATTCATTAATATATTGTTCATGAAGAAGCGCAATGAATTAATGAAATAAGAAAAAATTGATTTTAATAAATATAAATTTAGATTGAAGGAAAAAAAATATATAGTATGTAATTTAAGGTTAATTAACAATTAAAAGTGTAAAATTTCCTTAATAATAGATTAACTGTTGATTGTAATAAAAATAAATCCTTTTCACTATGCAAAAGCGAAATTTGATGCAAAAATTGAAGTTTTGTATAATTTAATTCAATTTCTTGTTTAATGAGATTAAATACGCTCCATAACACGATAGGTCGATTTTGTGATTAATTAATTACTTATGCAAATAGCTTCAAATATCCTTTCGCGTCGAGTCACAAAGCTCAATATGGCAGCACTTGTGTTGTAATGTCAATTAAAATCAATGACCAATTCATTCATT